TATCCGATGCTTTTTGGTGTTGATTTTTTGAAGATGAAGAAGCCTAGGGAGAGGTCTGTTGGAGGGAAGATGAGTCACATTTGGCAAGAGTTTAATTGAAACAGTGAGTTTGATAAATCTGTCCAAGGTTGAAGAATATTCAAATACCTTTTCTTTCCAAGAAAATCCCCACAGATCTCTTCAGGAACAAAAGCCTCTCTACGGTGGCTCCACGTGATTCAGACACGGCTCTGTGCATGCCACCTAAGGGATTTCTTTACTTTTAGTAAGACCATCAGCTGGCTTGCCAAATTCTTCAGCATAACAAAATTATAGGCTGTTTCTCTCTTGGGCATGCTGAAATGGTGAGAATTACCCAGAGAAAATTGAAACCCTGATAATTGATTTTCTTGCTGTTTTCAAAAGACCCAAAACCGTTCTACGATTAAACAGAAACTTTTCAGGACAAACACAATCAAAACCATAGGGAGTACCTCCATATTCTTAGAACTGTTTCTCAGCTAAAACCTACACATGACCTTTCCTGAAACACAGATGTAGAATTAAATTACTTTTCTAAAATAGAACTTTTCTCTTTGGGCTTATGCATTATGTTATTCATTTTGTCCTTAGTACCTGGAACCCAAAAATTAAAGATGAAAAAAACCACAGGTAAATATTGGCTGCAAAATAAATGCTTCATGTGATAAACTTGAAACTGAAAAGTAAATCTCTTTCCCCATTAGTGAAATGCTTGAGATAGAGATTTTGTTTAAAAAATGTGAAAATGTGTAAAAATGTGAAATGTGAGAACTTAAATTTCCTCATAAAATATATTTCTAAATGATTAATGTTGGCAATATGAATATGTAGTGTATCTATTTCCAAATCAAGATGCTTTGTGGTTGTCCACAAGATACATATTGGCTTGCACAATACCATTGCTAGATAATATGTGAAAAACATGGAAAACAGCTCAAGGAAAGTTTATTTATGGAGTTCTTACCATAGAAACCCTGGGTGACTTTTTCCAGAATAGAAGCACTCCACAAGAATATTTGGGCTACTCAGAGAAGGTCTTTGATTCATTCATTTTCTGAACATGATACAATATTTATTGTCAACCAGTATTTTTGCCCTTCATTCCTGAAGTCCTAGATCAGAAGAAGGGGTTCTTTGAAGAGACCTGCAGGCCATTGACCTCACACTTGGCCAGCTTTGCCACCAGAGCATCTGTGTTCCAGGTTAGAGCAGATATTTGTTCTTTTTGCCCAGAGCATCTGCTCCCCCTTATGGTGGTAGGTAACAGTATCTCCGTTTTCCTCTGAGTGAACAAACCCATCCCTACTCCATGAGTGTGGGAAAAGTCGCCCCACTTTACTCCAGGAGTGGGGCCTAAGCCAAGCTGCTCATTTTGCCACATTCCCCACCCCAATCCCAGCCACACTGACTGGTTGAAGGATGGGATGGGCACAGTGACCCAGTCTTGGCCAGAGAAAGAGTGTGGGTGAATCTCTAGAATTATGAGGAAGCTACAGGATGCTATTCTCCCTCCAAAGAACTTGCAAGTAGGGAATATGAATCCGAACCTTGTGGGCAACAGAGTGGAGCTTAGAAACAGACCCTCGTGGCACTGTTTGAAGTACCTAAAACAGTACCTAAAACTAGCTCCACTTCATCAAAAGGAACATCAAATGCTAAGTTGGAGTCCAACCTTCAAATATTTACAATAAAAGACTCTTAATTGGCATTTGAACTTCTCCACTATTCAAGAAGCAACACGTTCATTTTATATCTTAATTAAATCATTATTAGAAGACTCGTTTTCAAAGGGAATCTTCATTAATCTGAGAGAAAACAAAACAACTTAAAAACATAGACAGCTATGTATGTAATTTATAAATTTTATAGTTAAATTTCAGTGTATTAAATTCAAATATTTAACCTATACTTTTCCTAAAAAGAACTTTAATGAAGGGTCTTGGATATAACCAATAGGATCAATGACAATATAGATTTAGGGGCACATTGCCCACGCTATGTCTTTCACAAGAGCATTATGAAGCACAAATTCTAATTCTGACCAACTGAGCTATTTTATTCAGCTTTACAGGCTTACAACAATCTCTCCTCATCATATAGCTCCCAAAACTTTTCCTGTTCAATAATTTACATGAGCAAACATTTATAGCTGTATGATGATACCTACTCAGTCTCCTCAAGAGGAATGGAAACTCATAGACAATCTTTTCTTATAGATTCCTTTAGAAACTATCCTGAGTGACCAGCCTTGATCTTTATCACTTCTTTACCCTCATTAATATCTCAGGTATAGTTTCCTCATATTGGACTCTGTGTGCAATCATCATCTATGCAAAAGATAATTCTGTTGTTACTCCAAGCTACAAAGTCTTCAGTGCATTCTCTTCCTTCAAAAGTGGAGGACAGGGGGTTTGGGGGCTGGCCCCGTGGCCGAGTGGTTAAGATCCTGCGCTCCGCTGCTGGAGGCCCAGTGTTTTGTTAGTTCGAATCCTGGGCACGGACATGGCACTGCTCATCAAACCACACTGAGGCAGCGTCCCACATGCCACAACTAGAAGGACCCACAACGAAGAATATACAACTATGTACTGGGGGGCTTTGGGGAGAAAAAGGAAAAAAATAAAATCTTTAAAAAAAAAAAGTGGAGGACAGGGAGCTGGCCCCATGGCATAGTGGTTAAGTCCGGCTTGCTCCACTTCAGTGGCCCAGGTTTGTGAGTTCAGTTCCCGGGTGCGGACATACACAACTCACCAAGCCATGCTGTGGCAGCAACCCACACAAAATAGAGGAAGATTGGCACAGATCTTAGCTCAGGGCTAATCTTCTTCAAGCAAAAAAAAAGAGAAAAAAGTGGAGGACAGATTTCAGACATCTCAGTCTTTTGCAAGGGGAAAACAACATGACCATCTGACCACAGAATACTGCTTTGTTTTTCTTCTAGACTCGTGGAGCAGTTAAATTAATGTCAGAATTATGTTGGCATTCATTAATCACTTTAACTGGTTTTTCTTTCCATTTATACAATCTTGCTATAGAAAACAGACTTTGAATTCTTTTCTAGCCAGTATCTTAATATTCTGGAAGAATGAGAATGAACAAGAATAACGTTCTGGCAGACAGAGTTTTGATTTTAATGTTTTCAAACAAGAACACTTTAGCCCTTTTAGTTTATGTGTATGTGTGTGTGCATGTAAAGGATATTATTTAGATCTTAGTTAAATATAAATATTCCAACCTTCTGAATAGGAATATGTTTTAGTTAGATTTAGTTGGTTGCATTCAATAGAAAATTGAACCCAAATTGGCCTAAACAAAGAGGATATTTCTCCAAACTTAGCTGAATTCAGGGCTCAAAAGCTGTCATGAAGCCGTGTCTCTACCCAGCTTTACACTATGTAGCCTCTCATCTAAGCTCTTCATCTAGGCTCTTTATCTAAGCTATCATGGTGGCAAGATAAGGGAAGGTGCTAGAAGACTGCCATCCCATGAGGCTTCTTGTCTAGCTGGGAAGACTACTCTCTTTCCCAGAAACTCTCTTTCCCAGAAATCAGCAAAGGTCACTGCAGTTCCAAAACGGTGAATTGATGGTAGGGAACCAAAAAACCCACAACACTATCTTCTGGGGAAAGTACATTACATAAGATAAAAATTATCTTTCATTTTTGAAATATTTGTATAAAAATCTATGAGGACAGTTAGAAAACAGTTGAACACACAATCTAACTATTGTCAGAAGATTCAGCTTAGGGTAAACTGTACTAAAATACTTTGGGACATTTTTCAAATTCACATGGACAATAAGAAGAAAACTCCACACAACAGGTCAGTTTATCCTGCAGGTAATGGTATGTTTTTGCAAATCACTCTTGTAATGTAATTCTAACCAAAATCAGATTTAGAACAATGCCCTCTCTAACCCAGGTACTTGGGTAGGAGGCATAGAGGGGAACAACTTTTTCTGCTTCATTTTAGAAGGACCTATTGACCTCTACTTGTGTCTTTTCTTAATAAAATATGCCTTTCTCTTAGATTAGTTCATCAAAATGCAGCGTACGTGTATTATCTTAACTCCTCACTGAAAAGCCTTTATGAAAGTTTAATATTATCCTCTCAGTATCTGTCAAAGATTGACATAAAAAATGGCCATTGGGGCCGGCTCCATGGCCAGGTGCTTAGGTTCGCGCTCCGCTGCGGCGGCCCAGGGTTCAGATCCTGGGCGTGGACATTTCACCGTTCGTCAGGCCACGTTGAGGCGCATCCCACGTTCCACAACTAGAAGGACCTGCAACTAAGATATACAACTATGTACAGGGGGGATTTGGGGAGATAAAGCAGAAAAAAAAAAAGATTGGCAACAGTTGTTAGCCCAGGTGCCAATCTTAAAAAAAAAAAAGTCAACCCCTCTTTAAAAAAAAAAAATGACCATTAATAGACCTTTTTGCATCTTCTACAAAATGCAATTTAAAGTTAGTGCCCACCGTATTATCAATTGCTCCTCTGCATGGATTCATGCAAGGAATTCCTTTTGGAACATAATTCCTGCCTGGAATACAATGTTAGGAATACAGTTTTAGTTTTTCTGACTGAATACATATGTTTCTTTTATAATATCTTAAGGGACCACTAGAACCCATTGTGTTCTGTTTTGGGTCTTGTCTACTAGGAAACTAAAAAATACATATTGTTAAATTTATGTCAAATTATTTTTATATATTATATGACATTAATGGTACAATGGTACAATGGTAGACGTCTGTGGCAATAAATTTCCTTCTTTTAAAATTCTGACTATTCTTTTAATCTTCATATTAATTGCTTTGTCTGAGGCCTGGGAAATGTCTTAATATGAAATTTGCCTCAAGTTTTATTTAGAAGGAAGGGTAAAATAACATTTTAAATATATGTTACCTTCCTAATTTACATAAAGTTGCAAGAAAGTTGTGCATAAGAACTTTTTGATACTAAAGCCAAAAGTATTGTGGGAATGGAGAGGACTGTGGAGATTCAGGAACCCTAGTGCGTCACTTCCAGCTTTTTCCTGAAAACAGAGGAGGAAACACAGCCTCAATTAAGTGGGGACGAACAGCAAGTGAGGCGACCTGAAATGAACGGCTGCACGTCTTCTGCTGGTGGGACTCTGGCTCTGCTCTGCCTGACTCAGCGCTTGACTTACGTTGTGTGCTGCCTCCCGCCCGGGAGTACGCGCGCCGGACAGACGTGGAGCTGAAGGGCTGAGAGGGTGCTTCCTTCGGCCGTCGTTTAGTCCGACCACTCGCTCTGTCCTGGACGCCACATTTTCTGCCCTATTCTTATGGAACTTACAACCCAGTGGAGGAGACAGATATTAAAGAGACAAAACAAAAATGTAGATAAACATCCTCACAAAACGAGAAGTGCCATGCAGATTCCAAAAACAAAGTGTGCGGAGGAAGGACACGGGGGCGACGCTTCCCATCAGGGGATGGAGAGGGAAGTGCTTGGAGGAAATGACATTTATGCTGGACCCTGCGGGAACAGTAAGAGTGGGCCAAGTGGAGGAGGGGGGAAGGGAGAACATTCCTAGAGAGGAAAAAGGGAGCAGGAGGAGACAGGAGGCTGACAGGTTTGAGAAGCTGGAAGAGCAGCAGGAAGGTGGTCAGGTGACACCTGTTTAAACGGCCAGACCAGTCAAAGGACACTGACAGCGGGGCAGAGAGCAACAGAAGAGGTGGGCAGATGGCTCACAGACTCTCGTCATTACATGCCTGAGTTAGAGACTGATCTATGTGTAATGTATATGTACCATATGTGTAATGTCATATGTGTCTTATGGTACTGATTTTCAATCAAGTGACTCCTTCAAAAGCGAGGCAAGAAGCACGTGACTGCCTCCTGCTAATTAATGCTGAGTGTTCTTTCACTAGTCACCAAACAGTTATTGCACTTGGCTGGGTGTGTGACGGTGAACAGGATGGACACCTCTCCTGCCCTCACGGGCCTGCAGTCTAAGGAACGTCAAGACGGACACGCAGGCAAACCCCTGGGACCTTTCGCAGCTCAGCAGTGGTGGAGGGGGCCATTCCACAGAGGAAGCAGGGGAAGGGAGTGGTGAACGAAGGCCACAACTGTGTGGGTGAAGCTATCGTGAAGACTGGACAGGAGCCCAGGGCTCTGTAGGCAAAGGCCACTCCCCAGCCGCGAGACCTGGACCGACAGGTAGGGGAGGCGTTGTGTGGTGCCACCATGCCAGGGTTGCTCGGAGAAAACGTCTCTAGTTCTTGATTACCCAAGGCTGGTTCATTTTTTTTCCCTCATAAAATGGAGGCACGACTGCCTTGGACACACACGCAGCTTAGAATTTGGGTTTTTTAAGAAAACAATTTAACTTTTTCTACTATAATGCAAAATGTTTGACAATTAAGTGTCAAATTATTTGACTCTGTGTGTTTGCATTTGAGGGAAATTGTGGTTATAAGCAGGCTTAAAAACTAACGCCCCTGAAGAATGAGGAAGTCAGTCTGCAGAGTGAACTGTTTCGGTCTCTGACCACAGAAGCAGAAGCTAGCAACAAATTTGATTGACAGAGTAAATATAATTTCTACAGTTGGGTTCAACCTGTTTTCTTAAAGGAAATATATTTTAGTTTGCACTATGAAAAACACAGATTAGCATTTTTCAGAACATTAGGAATCAAACACAGTATCATAAAAGCATAGAAAAAAGGAACTAACTTTATCTTCCAATCACAGATGAGGTTCAAAATCAAAATGACATGTAACTAATATTCACACATCGAGTTTGTGGGGCTCCGCTCTTATCCACGTATTTCTCCATATCTATTTCTTAATGGCAGCAGAAGACAGGACTCCAGCAATGGTTCAGCTATGTGAAAAGAGTATGAATATACCAGAAGCTTCTCTATGCCGTCCGATGGAGAACAGCAGTCTCTTAATGTGTCCTGACTCTGGAGAGTATTGGCATACATTTGAACTAAACTCAAGATTTTTTTCAAAATAAGCCTTAATCTTAAAAGAAATTATTCCATATTCAAATTAAAACAATTTTAATAGAACTTTCCTTTCCAGAAACAATTATACACAAAGCAAGGCATTTTGTAAACTGTGATCCTGAGCTAGTTACAGTGCAAAAATAAATATACGTGGAATATACTCCGCAAAACAGAAACTACTCTCTGTCTCTTGGGCTTGGAAGGAAGCTGAAGGACAACCGACTCAAAACTTTGGGCAGGGCTTTCCAAAACCAAAGCTAAGCCCAGGCATTAAGGCTGCATGCTTAACGTGTGGTGCTAGGAGAGAGCGACCAAAGATGGGAAGCATAGATGAATATCAGTCTCCCAGAGTACTTTTCACCATCACGAGGAGAGTCATAAGGGTTAAATAAACAACAATCTGAATAGAAGCCATTTGTATGAGAATGACGATGCACGGGAGGGGTGACTTCCATTTCCCTTCTCTAATCTGAGCTCCTGGGGGCATACTTTGGTTTCTGGGACAATTTCCAAACCCTGAAGTCACCAGACTAGACATGGAGTGGGCACTGACCAGAGCAATCCATGGACTGTTCGCTGTTGGGAACTAGAGTGGACCAATTTTGAGAAACAGATCAGTCAGAAATGGGGGATGGGAGCAGAGGTAAGAGGAGGCACTGAGGCAGACAGAGGCCCTTGCAAACTGAAGAGGAAACAGAAATTATGAGTCAGCAGCAGAAGCTGGTAGTAAGCCTGGAGAGGAAAATGGAACAGATGCAGAGAGAAGATGCTGAGACAAATGACATGCTCATGATTCTTGGAGACTTTCCCATTCATCCCAGCTCAAGTCCACATGTGTGCTTATTCCTACAAAAATAAGTAAAAAGTAAACAAACACTTTCTCTTGGCATCACTGTAACAAATCTCTAGAGGTTCCGCGCCTGAACCTCACGGTCCAAATCCCTCCCTCATCTCGAGCTGACCCAGAATCGCCAACACAAAGAAAGTGATACCTGTGTCTTTAAGCGAAAGAAAGTCTTAGTCACTGCCCCAAAACGAAGCTTCGTACTGAAAACACAGTTGAAATTACTCCTGATTTCTCACAGACACCCTGGCTTAGTATTTGAAAATGAGGAAAGGTCCAGGGGAGATAAAGGGATTTAGGGAAACACATCAAAAAAGTGATCGCCCCAGAGTCTGTCCTGGGACACTCCCTTTGATGACCAGGGAAACTGACAAAATTCCTGCTCCTGGAATACACGGACTGGAGGAACAGATGGAGACCAGACAAAGTAAATAAGAAAAATATGCTTTATGTTAGCTGAGTCCTCAAGAGTAAACTGAAGCAAATGACGGAGAGATAAAGCTGGGGGAGAGAGGAATGGATATTGCAGAGGGTGACAGGGAGGTGCTCGCTTGCTAAGGTAATGTTTGTATGAAGAACCAAAGAAAGTGAAGGATCTCTCCTTACAGATATCCGGGAAAACAGGTTTCAAGGCAGTAAACAGCAAACACAAAAGCCCTGAGGGAGGATGTTGGGGTGTTGGTTGAAAAACAGGGAGGGGAGTGGGGCTGCAGTGGAGTAAACGAGGGAGAGTGAGTGAGGTCGGAGGTCACAGGGGCCAGGCTCCAGAGGTGGTTGGATGGGCTTAGGTTTTTACTTTGAGGAGATGGGAAACCACTGGAGGTTTTTAAGCATAAGAGTGATGTGACTGGATCTGCATTTGAACCAAATCACGCTGACTGCTGTGTTGAAAGCAGATGGAAGCGAGAAGGGTGAAAGCAGGTTGACAAGTTGGAGATTATCTTAATAATTCAGGGGAGAGACGATGGTGCCTGGAGTAGGTGGTGGTGATGAAGACGATAAGTGGTTGAATCCTGAAGACAGAACTGACAGCACTTGGTGCTGGATCAGATGTGGGAAGGGAGAGAGAGGAGTCCAGAAGGACTCCACAGTTTTGGGTCCATGTAACTAGAAGGAGGGAGTTGTCATTTTCTACGATGGAGAAGACTGCAGGAGGAACTTCTTTGGAGGGGAAAATTAATGGATGTGTTTTGGACATTTTAAGTTGTACATGTTCATTAAATTCAGCCAAGTAGAGATGTCAATAGGCAGTTGGATATATGAATCTGGAGTTCAGGGGAGAGGTATGGACTGAAAACATAAATGTAAAATTCTTCAGAATATGGATGGAGTCAGTATAGATAGAAAAGAAAGAAGCTCCAATGACTGAGCCCTGGGATGCTCCCACACTGAGATGCTGTGTATCCATTAGGATTCAATCCATTGGATGCAACAGATGGTTCAAACAACAGTGTCTTAAAAAGCATAGAAGTCTGGAGGTAAGCCTTCCAGGGCTAGGAGGCAGGTCCACGACATCAATGGGGCCCCTTTCTGTTTACCTATCTGCTCTGCCATCCAAGCTCATGGCTTCTGTCTTCACAGTTGCCTCAGAGATGGAATACAGCCTCTGTAGCTCTAAGCAATACGTCTGTTTCAGGCGGGGAGAAGGAGAAAGCAGGAAAGTGCAGAAGAGCTTTCCTGGAAGTCCCACCCAATGAATTCTGCTTACACAATGTGGAGACAAAAAGAGATACAGTCTCTGAAGCCAAACCACTGGGTGAGAACCCCAACACCAACCCATAGCTCTGAGGCCTGGGGCAAGTGGATTAATCTCTGCCACAGATTGGTCTTCCTCTTGGAACAACAATAGTAGTTCATACATCTAGGGTGGCATGAGGAATAAGTTAATAGCTTAGAAAATTCCCTGCCCATAGTAAATGATCTTTAATGATTTCAGAGGATTATGTCTCATTTGATGAGCTAAGGTGCAAGGGAGGTTGGAAACATAGATTTTAGCTGGGCACATTCCTCCCCGTCTAAAATTGAGAATGGATTCTGAGTAGACACTATCCGTGCCTGCCACAGAAGAGGACAGTGTAAAAATCTCTAGACTAGAGTCTTACCTCTGGCTCTGCTCCTTTGTCAATGCAGAGCCTGGGACCATTCAACCACTCTGAAGATTACTTTAGGCATCTGTTACACAGAAATAGAAACACCTCCTCAGATTCCTTCTCTGGGAAATTGTGAAGCTCAAACAAGTGGATGTTTGTGCAAGGGCTCGTGTACCATAAGGGTTACAGGAAGTAGGACATTTTAATTGTTATAAGACTCCTTCCATTCGAATCTTACACGTGCTTTTTTCTTCTCATGTCACAGCTTTACTTTTCATAATTTAATAGATTTTTCATAAAATAATATACTTTCATTGGAGAAAAATGCATAAAAAATAGAAATTATCCATAATCCCACCAACCATAAAGAAATGACTACTAGTTGCAGTGAAGTATATTTTCTTACATCTTTTTCCTTTGTGTTTGTGTGTGTACACAAGCACTCACATACATACAAGTATATATTTCATTCTACAAGGATAATTTTTTTAATTGAGGTATAATTGACATAACATCGTATTTGTTTCAGGTGTACAACATAATGATTGGATATTTGTATACATTGTGAAATGATCGCCACATGAGTCTAGTTAACATCCATCACCATACATAGTCACAAACATTTTTCTTGTGTTGAGAACTTTCAAAAGTGCAATGCAGTATTATTACCTATAGGCACCACGCTGTACGTCACATCCCCGTGACTTATTTATTTTATAACTGGAAGTTCGTACCTTTTGACCCCCTTCACCCACTATGTCCATCCCCTGCCTCTGGCAACCACCCATATCTTCTTCTCTTCTCTATATATTTGAGCTTGGTTTTTTTTTTAGAATCCACATAAAAGTGAGATCATACAGAATTTACCTTTCCCTATCTGACTTATTTCACTTAGCATAACGCCTTCAAGGTGTAAGGACAATTTTTATTTCACCTTTCCCCACGAGCATGTCCCCATGTCATCAAGTAATCCTTAAGAGCTGAAAAACATTCCTATTCATAAATGTGTAATAATTTTATTTTTATCCTGTGGGTATTATTTCAGTTGTTTTTAATTTTTGTTACTATAAATAAGTCTGCAATGAACATTCTTGTGTCTGTAAATATTTCTGCATCCTCTGATTATTTACTCAGGATAAACTATTAGAAGCAAAAATACTAAATCTCAGAGAATGACTGTTTTTAAAGCCTTTGCTACATTTTGCCATGTTGACCTCCAGAAATCTTGATCTAATTTACTTCAGTGCATTAGGAATACATTATTAATAAGTTTTCATACACACATTTTATGAAAGAAACCATACTCCTCTCAGACTCTTTTTCTTGTACATGTAGCTTTGGGCCACTGTCTTCAGAGTATCTCCCTTCATTTCCCTTTCTTACTTGGACAGTTTCTTCACTATCCTTTGTAGTTTGGAGTAGAAGGCAGATATGTTGACATTTGATTCATAAGTTTCCAGATTAAGAGGAGCCACAATTGGGCTTGACATAGAGATCACTGTGAACCTTCCCCTGATGAAGAAACAACCCCACAGCAGAGATACTGGAGTTTGTCTTTGGTCCCATGACTGGGTGGGCTTTGTAGATGTCATCCTCAGAGAGAGGCTGGGTGTGTTGTGCATGCAGGAAGGAAAGTGGCCTGAATTAACTACCAGGGTGGTGGACTATGATGGTCATTTGTGCCCATGGTGGATGTCTACTTCCCCCAGAAGTTAAGCCCATATGACTGGTTTTGACTGATGAAATGTGGGTAGAAGTGGTGGTTTCTTCACTGTAATGGTTACCCAGAGAAAAAACCATCTCTTCCCTTTTAAAAAGTGGTACTTTCTGAGATCTACCGCCTTTGTCCCCCCATCTCTGCATGTTCCATGACATATTCTCCAGCTCCCTCAGTAATTATTCCTATTTATTCTCAGTCCTGCTCACTCAAAGTAGTGCCCTCTCCTTTTGAAAATGAATATTGATGGTAATTTCTAGTATCTTCTACAACGAGGTCCTCTGGACACTGCTCATTCTTCCCTATAAACTCAATGCTTTATCAAGGATTCCCATGAAGATTTTGCTTATCTCAATTGCTTTTGGCCATATCATATGGAATTTGTATGATTTCTTTGTTTCTTAAAGATTCATTTTCCTTGCTGAAAGTGGAGCTATACCATGTTTTTATTAGTATTATTTTAAAGATTATTATACGGTAAAATTGAACTTTGGGGGGTATATAAAATCCCAATATGTAAAATTTCATATTCCACAAATATTAACACATATTTGTGTAGCTACTACAATCAATACACAAAACTTTTCCATCACCCCAAAAATCTGCTCTGTTCTATGTCTTTATAGTCACACCCTCCTACACCTTTAACCCCTGGCAACTTTGATCTGTTCTCTGCCACCATAATTTGTCATTTAGAGAATGTTATATTATTGGAATCATACAGTATGTAAACTCTTGAGACTGGATTCTTTCACTCAGCATAATGCCGTTGAGATTCATCTAAGTTGTTGCATGTCATAATAGTTGGTTCCTCTTTATTGCTGAGTAGTATTCCATTATATACATGTACATACCAGAGTTTATTTATCCATTTACCTGCTGAAAGACATTTGGGTTGTTTCCAGTACTTTGCCATTGTGAAGAATTCTATAAACACTCACATACAGGTTTTTACTGTGAAGAGGTATTTAATTTTGTCAAATGCTTTTTCTGTATCAATTGATATAATCATATATTTTTTTCTTTAGACTATTAATATAGTTGATTACACTTAAAGCTTTTGAAATATGATACCAGTCTTTCATTCTAAGGATAAATCTCACTTATTATTTTTAGATATTACTGGAATCAGTTTGCTACTATTTTGTGGAGAATTTTTGCATCTATATTCATGCAGGATATCGATCTCTAGGTTTCTCCCTTTTTTCTCTTTTTTGGGTACCATC